AGGCTCATGATTTAGGGGCAATATGGACTTGTAGTCCATACCAGTAATGATGGAGCCTTTGTGCCCAGTGAGTGGTCAGCAGCAAAGGACACTGCAGGGCTGGGTCATGAGGCTGTGCTTGGCACATGCAGGAGCTGAGCTGTTCTTTGCTCAGATGTGCTAAAGGCCAATGATGTGTGCTCAACTATAAAGAAAAGAGTTACGTATGGAAAGTGAAACCCCCATATTACATCTGACAAACTGGGCTGTGCTAGAGGGAAGGTTTCTGTCAGCTGTTGTATCGGTCTTTTAAGAGTTTATAAGCTTTTGAGCCTAGTAATTAAAACATATTTTCACTGTACCTTACTGGACTGAAGGGATTTAAAACAACAGTGTCAAAATACTCAGGTGGTTTTGTGTCTGGCAGAGTGCATGAAAATGACATTGATTAATCTTGTGTGTGTTGACATGAAGCACCTAAGTGTCAGATAGCTGTAGGTATGTCATGCAAGGCCAAGGTACAGTGTTTTTCCGTTGAGGACAGTTTTGTTGGATACTGACATTGGTGTTGGCAAGTCTCTAGAGCAAAATAAGGAGCTCTTCAGAGCATCTTGGCTTTTGCGAAAAGTTTGAATGTTTGCAAGCTCAGAAGTGCTGAAACCACAAGTATTTGGTGTCATTTTGGGTGGCAGCAGCTTGCCAGTGAGAAAAGAATCAGATGGAAAATGCCAGTTTGCCACAGAGAGGATGGAAAGAATACAGACAACTTTAGACATGCACAGGACATTGTTATGAGTTGGATCTTTTGGGAATTCATTGGAAAAATGGAACATACAAACCAAAGTGCTTCAAAAACCATAAAGAAATACATTCCTGTCTTAGAACGAGATGCAATAGGAGATGCCTGTGTTCCTTAAGGTTAATGCAGTGGCAATGAACTGGCTTTTCCATTCCTCTTTTTTTTTTTTTTAACTTAATATACAGTGTCCAAATCAAATAAATGCTGCAACAGCTTGATCATAATTTACACATGCCAAACAACCTGAGGCTATTCCATGTTGCACTGAGGCTGGAGAGGGGGAATGTGGCCGTTGTCCTCAGTGCATGTAGGATGATACTTCCATAAGGATGTGTCGTGCTGTCACAAATCGATTGTCTTCCTGGGCGTCTTCCATTGACTTCCGTCCAGTGTTTCAGAGAAAGAAAAAGCATTATTTAGTGAACATTCGCTGGTGTTCAGTGCTGTATTATCACAGGTGCTGCTTTAAGCCTGTAGTGTGACTATGGCCAGTCCTTGTCCCCAAGTTAATAAAGCTATACAGTTGATGCTGCTTTACAGATACTTCTTCAGTGTGTTTTACATGTGCACAAGTAATAATAATTTGTCTTTCTGTGCCCTCACTTCTGGCTCTTACAATTATTAAAGATGAATTTATTTTTTTTTCGTACTCCCTGTTGCCTTTACACTGATGAGACACCATTGATTTTAATGGAAGAGACAACCAGTGGGAATTTGTGCCTCAAAATAATTTTCTTCTCCATCTGATAATGGACGGAATAATCTGTTCTTTGATCTTCAGTTGGCGAATGTAGAAATTGGAAAGGAAAACGGTTGTGCTGTGATAGCTTTCCTCCAATAATGTTTGTGGTCAGCGATTTCTGGGTGTTTAAATAAGATGTTTCCTTTAAAAGGTGTTTGTGTGCTGGGAGACACGATGTGCTTGGAGCCAAAGTGCTGGGAGCATTGCTTGTGGAATAACCTTGTAACTGAGAGTCAGGGAGAGCTGCCCCGTAAATCCATCACTTGTCGGTTTTAATTCATATTGGTACCATCCCTGCAATTATGCAGATGTTAATATCTGAGTTACTAAATTGGCCAGCTCCAAGTAGATTAGTATGTAATACATAATATTTGAATGATATTTAATCATGAAGAAATCATTGTTCTGAAAAGAGAGTAGCTCTTTGTTTGTTTGTTTTTTTTATTGTTTTTTTTTTTTTGCCAAATACTCAGCGTGTCTCACCAGTCCCTCTGCATTGTCCCCTGCTAGATACAGAACAGGGATTAAGTGATGAAATGTTGAACATTGATCTTAACTAAGAGCTTTGGTAATGCTGTTCTTGTGCAATGCTTGCATCTCAACTGGGAAAAAATGATTTATTTATTTATTTTTTAAACAAAACCTAAAACATTACTAGTCATTGAGGTTTCTGTGCAAGTCACAGTACAGAAGAGACTCAAAGGTTTTATTTTTTCTCTCTTCTGTGGACTCCTTGTTGTATTGTCTAAGCATCTTATAAATATTTATGAATGCATCCTCAAACGAAAACAAATGTATATAATGATGATCCAAAGTAGTGTAGCAACCTTTGGAAAGTTGCTTCCTTAAACACTGTTATAGTGTGACACAACTGGGACAGTAAATCAGACCATTAAGTCCCATTTTGGTAAACAAGCCATCATCCCATCCCATCCTTCTTACTAGCTACTTTGCCTTGGCCACTTGCAGAGCAATTCACATCTTTTCTTCATCTAGTAACATTATTACGGGATTTATTATTTTTTAATCCAAGACCTAGGCAGCCCATGAAAGGAACAGAGAGAAAGTGAACTCAGCGTGTGCTCCCTTAGGCAGCCTCAGCTGCTGAGGTGCCTGCGCATCACCTGGGAGCCGTCCCGCAGGGGAGCCCGCAGTGCAGCCATGCCCTGCAGGCACTGTGGGCTTGGGCTGGGCACTCTTCTCTGCTTGCTCCATGTGATACTGGTCTTCTCTGAGCAGCGGCTGGGGCACAAATGTTGCAGCTGTGGCGTGATCTCTCTGGTGGCTGGGGATTAAACGCAGTGTTTGGGCAGTGACGGAGTGCATGAGCAAGATGCTAATTCTCTTTTCCTCAGGGTTTATGGGCTTTGTGCAAATCTCCTTGAAGTCAGTGAAGGACTTCTCCGACTGCAGTGGGCTTTGAATCTGACCCCATATGCACAATTAATTTACAGTCTGTGCTCGTCTTTTGCTAGCTGGCTTGTAAATATGAAGCGGTACTGAGCGAACCTTCGCAGGGCACACTGAGTAGTTGTGAACATGCAAAGTTGCTCACTGATCTTGATCTTTTCAAAGTAGTGTGACTGCAAATGTGTGTTGAACTACCCCACAGTATGTTGCAGCCACATTCCTCTTTGGTCTTTTATGTGCTTTTTATATGTGTTCAGTTGGCATTATAAGCTCTGAGGTTTTCTTTTATGCTGTTCTACAGTACTTTAGGGAACTCATCTCTCATCGCTAATAAAATAAAACAAAACAAAGCTCTGGTAGGTCTTGCCTTGTTAACTGTTCTAGCTGGTGTGGTTCCCACTGTTCCAAAAATTATAAAGCCTTATAAGATTTAAAATATTCCCAGTGCAAAGCATGAATATTTATAGACAAAGAATAAGACTTCTTATTTTGAAATTTCAGTGCTATGAAATTGCTTTTTTGGCAAGCATGATTAAGCCACATAGACTTCCAATAATGTTTTGTAAGCTTATTCCTTAATTATGGCTTAATTTAAGTCTCTGAGCTTAAGAAAACCTATGAAACTAGCAGCAAAATATTTTTCTTGTGGAAAATTTTGTTTGCACGGAATACAAAATCTGTATTCCTTGTAGGATTTTTGATGTTTTTAAACATGGTGATCCTGTATTTTTCTTTGCATTTTTTGAAAGCGTATCAAAAATAAAAATAGCTGATACTGTGTATTTAATACAGCATTTTGAAGAAATTAGTTTGGAAAGTGCATGTAATTACTTTTTCTCCAAATGCCTTGAGTAAAATACACATGAGGTTATAAAACATGAAGCGAGAGGCACCAGATTCTGTCTCAAACAGTAACTGCTGCAAGAGACAAATTAGAAGTCATTTTGCTTTCATATACTTGTTCTTAAATGCAGCATTCTGACAACAGCAATAAATAGAATTATCTGCATAATTGTATTTATGTAGTGTTACTCTATCTTTTCTAGAGAAAATCTCTTTTCCCAGATTAAATAGTTTTCCATTCAGCTGTAAATGGAAGAATGCCTCTTTAGCAGCTGTACAGATTTAAGGGAATGTTTCTGCACGCACTTAATATGCAATTTTGATAGGGACTACTCAGTGAATTTGATTTTTAGTGAACAAAATACGGTAAGAGCACAAAAGACTTATTGCTTTCCTGTGCAGATTCGATAACAGGATATACACTCAAAATAGCGAGACAGAAAGGAAAAGAGATGATTTGATTAAACTAAGCTGGATTTATTACTAGATTTTGTTTAACAGCTTATTTTCTTAAATCAATGTAAGAGATGTCTCAGCCCTGTAGCTCAGCACTTTTTGAAGACAGTATTGAATAGTTTTGAGCTATTCCTGGCTTAATACCGAAGTAGGAACAGCAGAATTGCTGGAAAGATAGGACTGTTTTAGAAAACAAAACCCAAAACTTTTAAACAGTTGAAAATCCTCTGCTGTAATCATGGTCTTCTGACCCCCCTGCGGCCTTGTGTTATCAAACTAAGAATATCTGTTTCCTTAGTATTTGTATCATATCTCAACCGTTAATAATAATCTAAATATAGTTAAATAAATAAATAAAGATGGTGGCTGGGTGGCATCCCAGCTACCTGGGACGTGCTTCACTGGCACTTAGACTTGCTATCATGAGCTTAGAGATACAGGCATGGGTTTTCAACCTGACTTTTCCAGGTGAGCTGAAAAGAGTGCAATCCCTTGAAATTTGGAGACTGAACATTTTTTACATTTATTTGGGTTTGAGTGGTGAAAACAATGTTTGAAGAAACAAATACCTGGAAACCAGTCTCTCTCTCTCTCTCTTTTTTTTTTTTTTTTTTTTTTCCCCCCCTGTAGTGGTGGGGAAATAGGGAAGTTTGGGTTAGGGGATTGCTTGATGGCTTATATTTTCCAGATATAGGAAAATTTCCTGTCATGGCAGAAAGCAACACTGGAGTCTACTGTCTGTGTTTCACCTATCTTTCCTCTATTTTGCAGGTTACGTATTTGGGTAAGGTTTCCACAACAGGGATGCAATTTTTGTCAGGCTGCACAGAGAAACCAGTCATTGAATTATGGAAGAAGCACACGCTCGCCAGGGAGGATATTTACCCAGCTAATGCCCTTCTGGAAATTCGCCCTTTCCAAGTCTGGCTGCATCATCTGGACCTCAAAGGCGAGGCAACAGTCCATATGGATACCTTTCAGGTAGCACGTATAGCCTACTGCACTGCTGACCACAACATCAGCCCAAATATCTTTGCTTGGGTCTATAGGGAGATCAATGATGACTTGTCCTACCAGATGGACTGCCATGCTGTAGAGTGTGAGAGCAAGCTGGAGGCCAAGAAGCTGGCTCATGCTATGATGGAGGCCTTTAAGAAGACTTTTCACAGCATGAAAAGTGATGGCCGGATCCACAGGAATAGCTCATCAGAGGAAGTGTCTCATGAATTTGAATCTGACGATGGCTGACTGAACTCATTCATGGTTCAGCAAAGGCAGAAATGGCCTAGGGAATGCGAGCTGATAGATAAATAAGCAACAATTGAAATTGGGGAATGAAAAGACTGCCAAACACTTGGCTGACCAGCTTTTTAAATCAAAAGAGCAATTTGGTATCTAAAGATATGCATCATTAAAGTAATTATGTTACATTGAAATCTGCTGCTGTTGTAAACATGAGAAAAAAGCTTCCCTCTCTTTCCCGCCAAATCTCTCACCCACCCATCGCTGTCCCTTTCTCGTCTCTGTAGTTCAGGTGCATACTGCAAAGTAGATTCATTCCAGTTTGTCTTACGAGACTGGTCAGGGAATTTTATTAGTTGCTCCTCTGGCATTCCTTGCTGGGGGCTGATGCTGATGCACAAGAGCAAGTAGACCTACAGAGCCCTAATGGTTCCTGAAGAATCTTTCTCCAAGATGCATCACAAAAATCCTTTGACCATACGTAGGCTGAGAAAGCCGTACATAGCCTTTTAGACTAATGGCCTGGCATTCTACTGTTAATTCACATTTCACAGATTAAAAAATGAAAAACGATCCTTGTATGTACACATTATATCATATGCTATCCTTTATTTTATTCATTGTACCTATTTTCTTAATATACCTGCTGTCACATCTTTTACCTGGCACCAGTAGGTGCAGTTTCAGACTACAGACTGCAGGATACCAAAAACGGGTGGGCCGAACCCCCACGGTGGCTAGGAGTGCAGTGAACCAGCACCTCTTTCTGCTCACGTTCAAGCTCTTGTTTGCTCTGTTGGAGGGCGGCCCACTGGTAAGAGTTGAGGGACACTTGGGTCTGTCAGTGTTTGAACTGTGACTCCTCACCAACCTCAGGTCTGAAGCGGTATGAATACGGTAACCTCGACTCCGTGTCACCAGTCTCCGTGCCACCGGGCTGTTGGGCCTGGTTTGATGGAGCTGGCTCTGCCTGGCCAGGAAGCCAGGGCTGCATTACTGTAAAGATCAAAGGAAACGGCCCCGTAGGAGTCAGGTCTGAACATTTGTTCTGGTTGAGAAGCCCATGTTAAGATTCTCATACCTTTCCTTGTGCAGAGATATAAAGAGTCATGCCTTTCTTAAATGCAAATGTTTAATAAAACTCAAATAAAAGGAAAAACTTGTTTCACTTGATATTTTTTAAGGTCAAGAGCAGATCAATAGTTTGCTAGTAATGCTGCTCCTTTATACAATTTTGTTTGTAATTATGGTAATGTTAGGGGCACTAGGGCACCTTACAGAAGCCTTAAAAGAAAGCTGATTGAAGCGGCTAGCTCTGTGTCTGTGTTTTGTGGGTATATATGTTTGTATGTGAGTGTGTATGTGCAAGTCCAGTGTTAAAGCATGTAGATTGAGCATGGAGACATATTGAGGAGGGCCCATACCTCTTGGAAATATGCTTGTTGCTTTACGATGTATGTAAACTATTCTCCAGCATAAATGCATTCATACTTTAATAAAAAAAAAAAAAGTTTGAGTTAAAGCTTGGGAGTTTTAAGCTGTCTTTCCAATGCAAACTCTGTGGTTTTGTTTCATGTGTGTGGGTTCTGTGTTCAGTTGCTTTATTGGAATGAAAATGTTCATTTAATTCCATTTAGCATTACATCAGTCTCCATGAGAATTGCCTTCAATAACTTTAAATTATCTTCTTTTAAATATTTGAGGTAAATTATTGCTATTGAGTTGCTGAAGTTTTATTTTATTTTATTTTATTTATTATTTATTTATTTTATTTTATTTTATTTATTTATTTATTTATTTTTTGCCTTTGCTCTGATGGATATGGTTTATGATTTCTGCATTGCAGGAGGTGGTAGAGATCTCCCCCCACATAGACATCTGGCCAGTTGAGATGAGTTGTGCTGAAGGGGAACAATGTCTCCCATCCAGGGTCATGTATGGGCTATGTGTTGGTCAAAATAAAAAAACGGAGGCCTGTCACATGTACTTATCAGTTTGACCAAAGGCAAAATGAGGCAAAACTTCCTTCAGCTTTTCAGAAATTATTTTTTTTTGCAGAGACGTAATCGTGTTTTAGTTTCTGTACTTGTTTGAATGTTCTGCCACCAGAGCTGCTGTAAACCAGCGTGTGGAAGCCTGTGTTCCCCTGCCTCAGCCAGATGTCCCTGCTGAAGGGAGAGCTTTGACTGTGAGTCTCAACCCTGCACCAAGGGCTGCTCAAGCGTGGCAGAGGGGCAGGTGGGAGACACCAGCTCTCCTCACACTGAGCCCCCAGCTGTGCACCCTGCTGGGTCCTTGCCACCCGGCTCACTAACGTGGCACACGTGTTGATGCTGCACTTGGCCCAGGTTTGGGACCTTTCTGTAGGCCAAGCCTGTCCTCACCCTCTCAGCTGGCTGCAGGGGACCTGCTGCAGCCTTGCTGCATTTACGGGTGGTGTAAATGTTGCTCTAATCTCCTGCCTGGCCTGCAGATGGAAGGTTAGGTCAGATGATCTGGTTTTGGGGAGGGCTCACGTGGTGGCACCCAGCTCAGGAGGAATCTGGGAATGTTATTTGAACCTGTTTTGCCTGTGGTGATGCTTGCTGTGTGTTGTCACAGGTTGGTGTTAGCAGCGCTGTGCATGCTCAGTGATGGGGGTACAGAAGCCACGAGGGGTCACTTGGTGGTGGCTGTGGACTGTCTGCTTCGTGGCTTTTGGGAAATCAGTGCTTTTGGGAGCTCAGGGCCTGCCTGTTTGCTAGGTACTTGTGTGGGTTTGGAAATGTGTTCCTGGGTGCTGGTTAGGGTCCTGGAGGGCCTGCTGCACAGGGCGCACTGCCTGCCGCGTATGCAGCTGTTGCCGGCCTCGTGCTGCTGGGCTGCAGCTCAGGGAATTCCTGCAGTATTTGATATTGTGGGGTCTGTAGTATTCCTCAGCATTTGGAGGCTCTGGATCATGGGAGAATATAAATGAAAGGTAACGGAGAAAATTCTAGTTCTTGTGATTAGAAAATCAGACCGCTCGAAACACTGAACCTGCTGTTTTCTAAGGCTTCAGACATGCAGGGGAACATGAGGGAATGTGAACTCCAGTTTATCTTAGAAAACTTAAGATTTGAAAAATAATCAGTATCATGAGTTTGGATCCTTAGATCATTTTGCATTCAGGCCAAATCCCTCTTCATTATCAACACCAAATGTGTGATGCCATTTGCATGAAGGAGAAAAGCTTCGACTCCAAAATAGTGAGAGTATCAGCTATCACTGAATGTCCGTTGCCAGTAGATACCAGAACGAAACATCAAGTTAAACTTTTCCTTAAATTAATCTGCTGGAAAGAAAAATCATAAAATTTCCATCAGAAGTCACTTCCAGTTGGCCAAAGACTTTTCTTTTCAAGCACAAAGAGCACAGTTTTGGATCTCACTGTATCCCATTGTGGGTTGACGAGTTCCTTTGGCATCAGCCAGGAGAATGCCTAAGGGATTTCTTTCCCTTTTCTGTGGGTAGGGGAGCGTAGAGAAGGGTCAGATACCTAAGTGTCTTATTAAGAATGCAAAAAAAAGCAGAGAGCATTTAGGTCATTAGACCTCAACATCAATATGCAGTGTCACTGGGTCCTCTGTGTCGGTATAAACATATGTATGTATATATACATGTATATGTATATGTACGTGTGTCCACACATACATCTTGAAAGTTGATGCTTGTTAAGTATTTTGTGCATGATCAATACGTGTAATGGGAGGTGCATTTGTGAACAGAGTCCTGCATAACAGTGGTCAGATAGATGGATGACTTCTTAAAGGCCTTTTTCTCTAGTGGGAAGCAAATTAACTTGTCTATCTACATGCAACATTTGATATACTATATGCATTATTTACCATTTACCACCAGAGCTGGCCCATTCCATGCCCAATTAGCTGCTGTAAGAATGATGTATGATTGGACTTGTTTTTCCCTGTGGCAGTGGAGCTCTGAATCGAGATTTCTTGAATTATTAATTTGTGTGTAATTGGGAAGTGATAGCTAAAATGTATGGTTGTTATCCTGTTGACTAGAGTGTTAAGTCTGCCAAGAGAATACATCCTTTCTGGAATATAGGGACATTCATTATAACTTTTTTTTCTAATGTAATTTTAAACAGATAGAGGGTGTTTTTAAAGGTTCCTCTTCTGTTAAAGTCAAGCAGAGGGTTTCCTTCCTTTCATTGTGCAATTTATCATAGTTGGCAGCTCTTACCCATTGCCCCAACAGTGGGTGCAAGGGTCTTTCATCTCCAGGACATTGCTTTCCTCTGTGCTGCCCTGGGGCTAGTCTGGGGGCAGGCCAGGGATCACCCCCCTCAGGAGGGGCCTGGCTGGACCTGCTGTGGAGGCTGCTGTCTGTCCCATTGCAGCCACATGGACTCCCCTGTAGCACGGCTCTACAGAAATACCCGGTGTTTTCCAGCTTGGTCCTTTGTTGCTCATGCACCTGTGCCAGGGCACATGCTTGCAGCAGAGCACACCCCAGAGGCTGGGCTGGCAGAGAGCTCTCTGGGAGCTGAAAGAGGCTGGAAGGAAGGTGGGTCAAGCTGGATTTGTACTGCTAAGTTGTAAACACTAAGCTTCAAGTTTGGGAAAACCTCTCTTGTATGTCAGTAGTTCATTGTAAGTGCCGTAAAAATGGTTTCTTCAGTTAGGACTGTAATTAATTTTGATTGGAGCTTTTAAAGCAGAAACAATTATTTATTGAGAAAGCTTTCATGTTTGGAGAGATGCTATCCTGTCTTCTGCAGTGCCTTCTCTGAAAAGAATTTTGAAATATGCTGGCAGCACAGACCTGGTGCATGTGGTGACCATGTGCTGCAAGCAGGATCAAAGCTGCAAGCTGCAGGACGTGTCCTGGGCCTGGGGCTCCGGGGCTCCTCAGCAGCACTGTCTCTGTCTGTTTTCATTTTCCATCAACTGGATGATTTCAAACAGTTACAAACCTGACTTACCCCACCAAAGGAGGAGTATTTGTAAGCTACAGCTGAGAAAGCATTACAAATCCTTGTGGCAGCAGGTCATGTAGGCATAGGCATGATTTCCAGTTATTGCTAGATGGACACCCCTGGGGGGTGCTTGTTTTGATATTTTTTTTTTAATTATTTTTTTTAATGTCTGTGGTGGAAGGCATGTGTGAAAAGGCTGTTGATGTTTTCGCACCAGGAGGAAAGTGCTCATGTATTAACACAAGGACTTGGTGCACTTACATGGGCAAGGTGAGAACACCTAATGAAAAATGCCCCTAAAGCAGCCCAGCTCTCATGGAAAATAAGTGTTTTTTAATTATTGTGCATATCATGACCCAAAATCCAGCCATGCCTTCACAAGGGGGAATATTACTATTCAGACAGGAGTGCCTCATTTCTATCCCAACTTTCACCTATCGCAAGAGTGGGAATGGGGAAGTTATTACTAGATTAAAGTTGTCTATTATGCTTTGAATTGCATTCTGCATTACATTCTCTGTTATTTTCCTGTAAATCACATTGCTGTCAGAAAGAGAGGAAACATTATAATCCTATGAATAATGCATAATGTGGATGATTTTATTTTTTCCTTCTTTGTGAGCAGCATAGATTTTCTGAGAACGACAGACAGGAGTGTATTGCTGGCATCACTTTACAGATTTAATTCTGGGAAAGTTGGTATCAGTCATATGCACGTGGAAAAAAAAATAAGTTATTGCTATGTCTAATTAGTTACCTCTAGTTTAGAGAGAGTAGAAATAGTTTTTGACGTAATTACTGAGGATATAATTAATCAAGGTTTTCTTGTGCAGTTGGGTTAAATTCTTGTGGCCTTCCTTCTGAGTGTGCATGCTGCTGCTCCCTGGCTCAGTCTCATCTTTAATAGATTCCAGACCTGGTGGTTTCAAGTAACAGCAGATATTCCAGATCCCAGGAGAATGATGAAATATGCAGAGGAACTTCAAAGGAAACTCCTCTAGAAAGGAAAAACAAGGTTAAATGATGACATAGTCACCAGTGGGATATTTTTATATCCATAGAAGATGTCAGGCCTATCCAAATGCAGAAACAGGTGAAATCTGAAACTGTGCTACATCATGGTGGTGCCTGAGACTAACAACAAACGCTGCTTCATGCTCACCTGGACACTACTAAAGAGTTTGCACCCAATTCTCACCAGGGTTTCCAGTGATTTTTTTGGTGTGCTTTTTTCTCAAGTCTGCTCTGACCACACAAAGAAAAGGCCTTTGTGTCTCCTTTCCCTGTTTCTAATCACTTTTGCTATTGAACAGTGATGGAATGGCTGTGAGGAGCTGGAGTCGGGCCTACCACACGAGGAGCCATGCAGTCCCTGATTTTCTGCCATGGCCGTCCCATTTGCCCATCCTCAACATCCCCAGGAGGTCACTGTCACTTCCAGTTAACTTTGCTCTGCTCCCTGGACCGCCACAGTGTCTTCTGCAGGTAGCATGCCTGGGTGGCATTTGTGTAACGTCAGAAAAATACATCTTTTCTACCAGTGCTGTGGCAGAGTTT